TGGAGGAGAAGAGAGGCTTCAGGGACATGAGTAGCAGCCAGCAGGCTCCACAGTTCGGATGAGTATAACTTTTTTTTAGCACCTAGTCAAAAAACGAGTATTTAACCCTTGCAGTGGGGGTTACCCCCACTGCAAGGGTTAGGCACACTTTTGCCCGGGGTTGTGCTTTAAATGCCCATAGTACCATAATCGTATCCCCTGTATGCCTGTCACCATCAAACCAAACCGCTGCCGCTACAGCACGTGTCACTATTAGCTCTATCCTAATATCCTCAGGATGCTTGTATCTCTCCAAACGTGCGCAACTTGCAGCTGTGCTTTTCTCTCGACAGTGAAGTCCCGTTACAGAGTGAGATATGGAATATTCAGTTTAATACCAGAATCGAATCACCTTTACATAACTCCGAGAGCAGGAAACATTTTTCAGTTAGTGTGAACGGGAATGCCGGAACATTTGTTTCAGCACAAAGTACCTTGGGGGCGCTTTCAATGATGCACACAGCCTCACCAATCCACAAACAGGACATGCTGGAGGCGGTGGTGTTGCTGGAACTTGTCTGTTACCTGGCAACGGGGAGGAAGAGTGCTGTTCGCTGTTTTATTTCAGGGGGTTCTTATATTTCTTCTCCCTGTGCAGGTGAGTCAGAGGAGATGACCTGAGCCTGACTTCCTATCGGGTGTAGTGCACCAGGTACATGGGCGCACTGTCACTGCCTGCTATTTGTATTTACATTGCGTAGTATAGCCATCTATATCACTGTGGGATTTACAATGGTGAGTTATAAAGCATTGCATTAAGAAGTGTATTGGAATCATTCATTGGGGCACATTTCTGTTTGGACAGAGCTGCTTATTTTCATTGGCACTAAATTGGTATACCTTTTAAGTTTTTGTTTTGTATACAAAGCTGGCCACAGATCTTACAATCTGATATCTTCACAATCTCCTTTTATATCTGCCAAAACTATGTAAAAGCGCTACCAAGCAATCCATTTCATTTGTAGTCTTTCATACTACATCATTGTTGGTAGATGTGAGTCCCCGTTCACACCCAAAGCGCAGACTTTGACGTGGCCAACAAAATGCATGTTTTCCCCATGCATTGACACACGTTAAACACCCACAAGTGCGTGTAGCTCACAGCTGAAAATACTGCATGAGCCAATTTTCTGCATGGGGAGCCCATTTGGCTGATATGTGGCAAACGTGTTGCGAATGTGGGTTCACGGAGTGCGACGTGTGAACGGGACTTTAAGGAGATTGCATAATCAGATTGCAGCTTAAACTGTCCAGTGGTTTCCTTATATTTTCAGTTTAAAATAGCTAAATGCAACTAAATCAGGTGCATGAAAACAAGTGTTATGTCTTAAAGCAGACTTTCGGGTGAACATTTTTTTAACCCTTACTGTAGGGGCTGCACTGCAAGGGTTAAATGCTTGTTTTTGTCTAGCCGCTAAAATAACAAAGTAATACTCACCCGATACACTGAGCCGGCGTTCTCTTACATCGGTCTCTCCAGCCTGTATACTCCTCCGCTGCAGCAATGGTATGTCTCTTAGCTTCCTCATGTCCTATACACTGTATATAGGATGTGACCTTAGACCGCTGCAGAGGAGGAGAAGGCTTCTTTAACCACTTGCTGACCAGGTGTTTACAGCCCCCTTCCTGGCCAGGCCATTTTTCAGTATTCAGCGCTGCAGTACTTTGACAGACATTATTCCGTCATGCAACGCTGTACTGAAACAAATTTTATACAATTTTTTTGGTGACACATAGAGCTTTCTTTTGGTGGTATTTGATCACCACTGGGGGTTTTATTTTTTTACCATATAACAAAAAAAGTATGGAATATTTAAAAAAAAACAAAAACGTTTTTCCCTTTATTATGTTAGGAAACATTTATTATTACCCAATTTTTTTTTTGGTAAAATATAAAAGACGGGATCACGTCGGGTAAAAAGACACCAAACATGTGAAGCCTTAAAATTGTGCGCGCCCGCAAAATCACATAAGACGCCCATAGCCAAAATTGGCTATAGGCGACACTTTAAAAGCTTTTACCGCATATCAGTTTAGTGTTATCTGATTGATGGACCTAGACTTATTGCTCTCACTGCGACTTTCCTGGCGATATGTAACATGTGCAGCGTAATTGGAGAAATCGTCGTTTTTGCGTGTAGGCACACCTAACGCATTTTTGCGCATCTATGTGGGGGTGGAGGAAAAAAATTGTGGGTTTTTTTTGTTTTTGTTTTCCACTTCTGGTCCACTTTGGCACAAATGATGTAATGTACCCAAGAGTTGCATCCTGGGAAGGTTACATCAGCTGAAGATCTTGGGGAAAAGCATTTTCCTCCCCTGAGAAGATATGCACGGTCACATGTCCTAGTCGCATGTCTAGACAAATGTGCCAGAAATCCAGGAAGTAAATTGAGAGCTGGTAATCTGCCCTTAGTAAACATGGCCACTGTCAGAAGACTGGGAAAGAAAAGGAAAATGGTATGTAAAAAATACAAAGCAAAATGTCCTAGTCACATGTGCCAGAGTTCCAGGAAGTAAAGGGAGATATATTAATCTGCCCTTAGTTAAAATGACCACTGTGAGAAGACTGGGGAAGGGGAAGAAAAGAAAAATAAGCTAGGCAAAAAATAAAAAGCCGCCTCTGTGGATGTTGCTGTCAGCAGTCTCCCACTCAACATCCTTTTATCTAAAAATCAATGGAGTCGAGTAGAAATGTCTCGGCCATTCAGTGACCGTAGCCAATTAGTTGAGGACATTGTTTGGGTACTCTCTCAGCAGCACACCTGCTGTTCAGCATGGATGGGGAAATCAGATATTTCTTATTCAGTCCTCTGCAGAGAGACCACTGCTTCCAAACATAGAGCAAGGGTTCTTCTCTATAGCATGCATTTCTACTGATTTTCCAAAAACAAACTGTAAGATGTGGAACACCCTTTAGTTGGCTGCACATAAATTGTATTTTGCTGATTTAAACTGAATGTTTTTATACTCCATTCTCCAGCAGAATATAAACCCATTGCATGGAGAGTGGAATGAGCACACATGGGCTCTACTCGGAAGGTTTTGACAAGCAGCTCAGTGCCATTATCCATCTTACTGGATCAGGGGAAGGTATGAAACATGCAGAGCTCAAAATATTAAAAACATAGAAGGGAATTTTTCAAAATCTGGAGCAGCTGTGCATGGCAACCAATCAGCATCTCTGTTTCATTTTCAAATCTTAACTGAACAAACTGAAGAGAGAAGCTGATTGGTTGTCATGCACAGCTGCTCCAGATTTTGTCTGTTCCAGTTTTGATAAATTCCCCCCCAAACAACATTAACCTTCCTGGCGGTAATCCTGAGTGTGGCTCGGGGTTAATTTTCATTACCAAAGCGGGTAACCCCCGAGCCAGACTTGGGATTACACAGCGCATTACTTACCTTGTCCATGATCCCCGCTGTGTCCTCCAGCCGATGCCGGCATCCGTCTTCCGGGTTCCATCCCTTGCGAGCGTTCGCTAATGTGTGATACTGCAGCTGTCACATGTGGGCTCTATAGATTGAGAACTGAGTGATCACATACCACTGATCGCTCAGTTCCCAATCACTTACCTGCAGGGATCCCAACCTGAAAGAAGCCATTTCAGGGAGGTGTCCTTCTCATTTCAGGGAGGGGGGGGTGCCCTCTACGCCCCCCCCATCCGCGGAGGGGGGTTAGGGGGGCTGGGAGAAAGCACCCCCCTGAAATGATGGCAGGTAGCACAGGAAGCAATAGCTTCTTTGCTATCTGCAGGTTTTTTTTCTGATTATGTTTTTAGTATTCTGACAGTTGCAGTCATCAGAATATTGAGACTCCCGGAGCGTCCGGGAGAGTTGGGATGTCTGTACCTGCAAAGAGTGGTGATTGTCAGTCACTGCTGCCTGCAGGGATACCCCCCTCTCTTTTCAGAGCCAGCTGTCAATCAGGTAGTGACGTGGATCCCGACAATATTGTCAGGATCTGTCCCAGCTGCAGCACGGCTCTGTGCTGTCAGCATATAGCAGGCAATCGCACACTACATGCCGAGTTTTGGGTCACAGGAGGACAAAAAAAGTTTTGGCCATAGTTCTTTTAACATTTGAAAGCTTGTATGAGATTTTACTGATTGGGTTTCCATGTACATTAAGCTCCATGCACACCTATGCAATATAACACAATGGTAATGCACCTGCAGAAAAAATTATGTCAATGGTGCCTGTTCAGGTATCTGTGCTGCTTTGCAAGGCATTCTCTAAAAGGTTTGTGCACATTTTTTGACATGCCAACATATGTTATGGTCTCCTTAAAATCAATGAATGCAAATTAGACGCATGACGGTGTACACACATATGGGCATATTTATAACGCCACAAATGTAACGTTCACCAAACATTCACTTTTGATGAATCAATCACTGTCATTTAGGCCCCGTTCACATATAGCGAATTGTCGCGCGATTTGCGCCGCGATATCGCGCATTTTTGCCGTGCGATATCGCCGGCCAATGCTATTCAATGGAGCTGTCGCAAGTCGCTTCTACCAGACCCTTTTTTTGGCGGATTTTGCGCGATTTTGCTTTTTTCCTATGGAGCCCGACGGAGAAGGTCGCGCTATCGTCGCTGGAACGTCGCCCCGAAAGTCGCGCTATCCCGGCCGCGGCAAAGGTATGTCGCTATATGTGAACGGGGTCTAAAACTCCATGCACCAGGAAAAATTACCTGAAGTAAATGTTTCATTGTCGTATTACCTGCTTTAAAAAAAATGTCCCATAGTGTGATTTGTTTACTCACAGATATTGCTCTGATCTGAGGGCTAGCTGGGTTCGCTGAGTTCTGTCTTTGAGAATTAATATTTTGTATTTGATTATAGAGAGAGCAATGAGGCTGATTTGGGTTAGATTTATTGATATACATTTACATTTGTAATGTTCTTCTATGATTTATTTTGTTTTTGTCTGAGGGTTCTCTAATGCTTCTGTGTCACACAGGAAGGCCAGTCTTTAACTGGGGTTCAGAAAGATTGTGAAACGGTAATGAAGTTAACACGAAAACAAGTTCTGTCCAGGGCAAAGGCTTCAGAGTTGGACAGTGTGAGGAAATTGAACTGCTGGTAAGTATGGACTGTGTGGTTCTGACGATGAAGCATAGCTGCATAGGGTACTTGTGACTTTTTATGCAAGACATTCTCCCTCTTCCATTGAGGAAGCCATCTTGTTGGGAGTCAGCAATGGATAGAGGGCAATCTGCTAGAATAGGCCTGAGTGTAGCGTTTGTGACCTGACAATGTACCCTTATGCCCGCTTCCTGGCACTGGTTTTAGCTAGTATAAGTTAGCAGCTTTATAGGAGAACTATGGGGTCAGGGCTTTTCCCCATAGTTCTCCTAAGGGTAACGGTAGGACACAAACTAGCGTCCTCCCGTCACCCTAAGCTCAGTATACCGCGAGCTACAGCTCGCGGTATACTGAGATGCCGCAGCCGGGACGGATCCCGACAATTACTGCCGAGATCCACCCAGCTGCGTGATTGACAGCTGGCTCTGCCTATCTAGAGGCAGAGCCAGCTGTACCCGCCCCCTTTGCCATCCGTCCTGCCAGTCAGCGCTGGAGGATCGGACGGGACGGGGGGAATCCTTGCAGGGTGCCGTGAGTGACAGTCACGGCTCTCTGCAGGGATAGATCGAGAAGTCAGCGAGCGATGGTATGTGTTCGCTCACTTGCCGACCTGTGACAGTTTCATTATCACAGGTCGGCTAGAACTATGATGCTGAGTGATTTTCACTCGCCTCATAGTTGTCCTTTAAGCCCCTTACTTAATGAAACCTCAAATCCCCAACCAGTGGGCATACTCCCCCTCTTCTCTGTTGTGGCGTCCTCCAGTGTTTGCGTTTACAGAATTCTTCCTGAAATCTTGTCCGGCACTGCTTGTGCAGTAACTCCACATAGACTCACTTGGGCTGTACCCTTAATTTTGGAGGTGTGTGTGTGCGTGTCTGTGTTCTCTCCCATGTGACAAATGTTGTCTACAAGAGTTGATTTTTTATTTTTTTTTTATTTTAGGGGAAGCCGCCTTACAGATGTAAGTAATATCTGCAAGAAGACTTGTATCCTCAATCCTGTCTAGATAGCTGTAAAATACAATGCAAATCTTTAGTTTAAGCAACTCGCTTTGTTTTTTAACATTTTCACATTTTGTTTTTTAAAGCCGAACTCAAGTATATAAAATGCAGCTCTGTGTTCATTACCACAATCGTACATGTATTTTCTTAAATGCATGTAGTGTATGTTCCTAAATCTGGCGTGGTATCAGCCTCCTGCATTCCCTGTACAACAGAGCTCAGACTAAGGACGGAGAAGGAGTCAATCAGTTGTGATACAGTGCAAGGATTATGCTGATAGGATAGCAAGCAGAGAGACAGAGCGACAACATGAATGTCCTTTCACTGTCCAATCACAGGGATGGTGGGAGGGAGGGCGAGTGGACCTGTAAATGTTACTGAACTGCAGCAGAAAAAAATCAGGTTTCCTTCCTTACTGAATAGAGCTGTGTGGTATGGCGGAGCTGTGTAAATCTCAGGGCTGAATGGATAGAAATGCAGGTTCTTTGGCTGGTTGAACAGCTCCATTATATGCATTTCTTCTATATATCTGTTTGTCTGGAATTCAGCTTTAGGTTTTAAGATTTTAAGCTAGTGTTTTATATATGTTTCTCTAGTCACCTTCCAGGACAGCATCAGAGAGATAGGCTCCTCCCACCGGAACAGGAAACACATCACCCACACCTAAATAAAAAGAGCACAAGCCTAGCACGGTTCAGTTTTTTTGTGCGTTTCCTCCGGCCAAACAGGACATCGTAATGTTTGTTTTAAGCCAGGCCTTCGTGCTAGTGAGCAGGGGCCTCTCTGGTTCGTGAGTACCGCATGCCAGGGACAGTGGACCTGAGGTGCTCATGGAAGGGGATTCCAAGACAGCCCTATTTGTCTATAGGGTTCTATTTTTGTATCCCTGAGGTTTCCTGCATGAATTGCAAGGCAACCATCCTTCTGGTGTAAAGGTCTCAGTGGAGTCCTCCCTAGTACTGCAACCGTTCTCCAGGTCTTTGGGGGGGGATTGGTTACCTTTCCGGTGTGCATCAGACACCAGGACAGCGGTCGGTCAGACCTCATGGAGCTTCTGGTTAGGCCGCCATTTCCCTTGACCGTTTCCATGTCGGCTTAAGGCCAGGGGCAGGCACATGCTCGGTCACGCTACATGGTGGATGGAGGAGGAGCAGGATGCAGAACCTTGCGGCTCCCACACCCGCAAGGGGCGGGCATCAGAAGCGGGGCACTGGAGCTGGAGTCTTCAGGGCAGGGAGCCCTTGGAGCAGACTCATTTTCTAAAGCAGCATCATCTGATCCGGTGGATCCTGGTGCTAGCAGCTCTGAGGTAGGACAGGGGTTGGACGCCCACTTCCTATTCTTTTTCGCTCAGTGTTTGGGCACATAAGGCACTGGTTGACACCTTTTTAAGTTCTTGTGTTCATTGGGCTATGTTTTTTTGTGTTTTGCAGAACAAGCCCTCTGAAGGAACTTCGTCTTCCTCTATCTTCCTCTATTAACAGTCGCCCCAGAAATAAGAAATGTATGCAATCCTATCCTTTTTTTCCCCCTCTATGTATGGGTACTGACCTGTGTGTTCAACAGAGGCGCTGGTTTGATGTTTGGGAAACCAAGGCCTCTGAAGGAAGAATGCTCATCAGTCAGCACACATTGCAGCGATGTGCAGCCTGCAACATTAAATATCCCTCTTCTTCCAAAAGAAACACTGTGCCAATCTTGTGTAGGGAAGCCAGTGGTGGATGAATCGTCAGGCATGTTTTAAAGCCTGATAGACTATATGAGGGAAGAGATGGTGTCGACTCTTCAGTCATTCTGCACAGTAATTCAAGTTGTAGAAATGATTGGGAGCCAGTCCCTTGATCAGGGACCTTCTGGTTCAGAGAATGCAGGGAAGAGTGCATCCCCTGCATCACAGTATTGGTATGTGTTATTTCCACCAGTGCATGGCTGATTAGAGGCAAGGGCTGCAGCACAGATACGTTTTTTAATCTGCAAAGCAGCAAACCCAGACAAGTAAGCAACCTAATTCCTCCTACATGGAATAGATGTGGGGTGCAGGAGTATTGTGGATTGTTCTAAAATGTCACACTCTTTCGTAGCCTCTGTTTTGTTGCAGAGGTTTATAAAGAGTTATCAGCCTAGAATGGCTGTAGCGATTGCTTTACAGGCTCCTTTTGCCAAAAGCATTACAGTGGGCAAGAGTACTGGAGGGGTATTGCTCCAGTTTTGTGCACTCTCCTTTAATTAACCCCTTCATGACTGAGGCCTTTTTTTTTTCATTTTTTGCACCCCATGTTATATTCCACATTTTAGGCCTGAACATGACTTAAAACCCCCAAACATTATATATTTTCTGAATGCCAAGACCCTATAGAATAAAATGGTGGTAGTTGCAAATTTTTATGTTGCGCAATATTAGCGCAACTCCTTATTAAACCCCAACATTTAGTGAAAAATGTAATTAAATGCCCCAAAACACAACAAAATACCAATTGTTTTAATGAAATATAAAAGATGAGGTTACAACGAGTAAAACGATACCCAACATGCCCAGGTTACAAATAGTGTGCGTCCGTGAAACGGCGAAAAACTACAGTACCCCAAAAAGTCCATAGAAGACGCTTTAAAATACTGGCCCTAGAACTATTGCTCTCACTCCGGCATGCTTGGCGATACCTTGTAAGTCGCCAGAATCGCTTCTGTTGTAAAGCCAACAGTCAGCTTTACAAGTTTAAACAGACTCCGCCGGGAGTCTGTTTTAAACAGCCCCGATGCTGGCGACGTACACTCACAAAGGGGTTAAAGGGAAATTCAAAAGGAGAGACGATAGCTTGGGGGGAAAAACCCTTTCCTAGCTGCGGTGTAATATTTTAATATGGGCCTGCATTATTTTTTGGCAGGCTCCAATGCTAATACTCTGCATTGTGCTGCAGACGGGCTGATTCATAGGCACTCATTAACATGTGCAGAAATTGGACTTCTAATTACACTAGCACAGTGCTGCAAGGCTAAGAGGGAGTTCCGTTGCTGGTAGCAACCAGGGTTTCCTACCTGGCCTGGGCTTGTTGTGAGCTCCCAAGTTGGAGGCTATGATTGCTCTCAAAATCCCAGAGTATGGGAATTGCTGGGAATAAGTTGAGTACTGTACCAAGTACAGTACTCAACTTATTTATTAATGACATCGGGGAGGGTGTTAACAGCGATATTTCCGTGTTTGCGGATGACACCAAAATAGGGAGGGTAATAGACACAGACTTAGACATTATAACATTACAGGAGGACCTGGATAAAATAGGGGAGTGGGCATTAATGTGGCAGATGAGGTTTAATGTCGATAAATGCAAAGTTATGCACTTTGGAATTAAAAATAAACAAATGGGTTATACAATCATGGGTATGCCGCTAGGGAAGTCAGAAATGGAGAAAGATTTGGGGGTCATTGTAGACCACAAACTGAAAGGTAGCTTGCAATGCCAGGCTGCTGTAAACAAAGCTAGCAGGGTCTATAGATCATTGGTTCGCCCTCATCTGGAGTACGCGGTCCAGTTCTGGTCACCAGTACTAAGAAAGGATGTCCTTGAGCTGGAAAAAGTCCAGCGGAGGGCAACAAAACTAATTAGGGGTATGGAGGACCAGAGCTACGAGACGAGGCTACTAAATTTAAACATGTTCACATTGGAGGTGAGGAGATTAAGGGGGGATATGATTTCCATGTACAAGATGTTCAATGGTGACAGCAAAATTACCGATAAACTGTTTAAAATTAACTCCATTACAAAAACTAGAGGCCACCACCTAAAATTGGTGGAAAAAAAATTCCAGCACAAGGGGCGAAGGGGGTTCTTTACAGTTAGATCAGTTAGGGTCTGGAACTCACTGCCGCAGGCAGTGATTTCAGCAAAAAATGTGGAATTGTTCAAGAAACTTTTGGACGATTTCTTAAGGGACCGTAATATACAGGGGTACAGGTACTCCTAGAATGAGATCCTAATAGGTTGGACTTGATGGACTAATGTCTTTATTCAACCTGAAATACTATGTAACTATGTATGTAGTACTCGGTACAGGTACCGATACTTTTGAGCTCCAAGACTAGACTAGAGAAAAATTAAAAGATTATGAGGCAGCTGTCATGTGTAAGGAGCACACAGAGCTCCCGGGATTTGTACATCTCTTTTTAATGTATGATTTTGTTTTTATAAATATAGAGTGATGCACAGATACCAGTTTTACGAGTACTAGTACTTACCGAGTGCTTACAAGTACTGATACATTTTTGTTTATTGTCATGTGACAGTTTTTCTAAAACAATACAGAATAATGATTTCAGGACAGTGGTGGAGTGCCAGAGCCAGGTCCTAGCTGCAACCGCTGCAACCCTGGTAGTTCTCATGAAAATGCCAAGTATCTGTGCATCCCTAGAGAGGTTACTTACTTCCTGGGAAGATATGTATTACCCATTAAAGATTTTTAGTTGACGCTTTACCCACTATATGTGAGTGTATGTATGTGTTAAATCTTGTCTCTCTGTATGATAACAAGCATCTAACCTTTTCAGGTGGAGTTTCTCTGCCAATCCTCAGTTTGCTCACAGGTGGAGCTGATCCATTGATTGTAGCTGCCTGGGTGTGTCTGCCTCACAGGTGTGGGGTCTTTGCTTATTACTCTGGATGCAATGCAGAGTGTGCATCACTTGCCCAGTCCAGGATGAGAGCTTTTTGCTATGGTTCTCTGTCTCTTGGACAGAGATCACATACAGGGATATATTTCTGTGGCTTGTCGTATGGTGAATAGCGGTATCTCAATACTTGTGCATACAGCCATGTATTGGTGCTACTATGCTGCTTCAGAAATAGCCACTTTACTTCTTTTAGAAAGCACTGAGTAATGAAGTCCAAGATTTATTCATACCTAATATATCGGTGTATTTGATATTTCTATGCAATCTCAGCAATAACCAGTTACTGCTTAGTATAAG